CTTTGAAAATCAAAAACTACCAATGCTCAACCAAATAAAATTTTTAAAATGTGAATGGCCCTGTAATCACTGAAGAAACTGAGTACATAATTTTCAACTTCCCCCAAAAAAATCTTCAGGCTCAGATGAATTCGCTCGAGAAATCGATCAAACGTGGAAATACATTTACATGGTCGTTCCAGAAAACGGAAGAGGAGGGTATACATCCTGAGTCACCAAAAGAGGACAACAAAGAGCATGCAAGCAAGGAAGCCACAGGCCCACAGCTTCAGGCACCGAAACAAGCCCAGCGGTGGCAGGCAGGAGCCAGGCGCAGGCCTCTGGAGCGGCTGGAGGTCAGCGGCCAGCAGAGCCCAAAGGCTGAGGTGCTGCCCCAACCCGCCAGGGGCGGCTGAGCTGGACGCACAGAGGGCCGGCCTCCCCCAGTCCTGGAGAAGCCAGACCTGCAGCCCCACTCTGGGGCTCGGAGCCGCCAGACCTGAGCGGCAGTGACTTCATGCCCTCCGAGCCACCACGTCTGCGGCTTCCCTTCCAAGAGGGCAGCACCACAGCCCAGCAGGGGTCGACACAACATGAAATACACAGCTTCTTTCAATGGGTGGAAAAATGAAGCAAGGGTTTGTCCTAACGCTTCTGATTCCAACTAAAGACTATGGGCTCGTGTCTTGCATTTCACTGTTAATGCTTTCCTCGAGCTGGAAAATCTCGGCTATGCATGAAATTGGCATAACTGTTGGTTTTCTCTTACCATATATGTAGTTTCAAGAAACAATACGAACATCAAATTGACAACAGGAAAAGTGGGTGCAGTTTTAGATTGCTTCATTGGATTTTTGGTGCCCAAAATAAATCCCTAAAGAAATATGCTGCCCTGAACCTGTGACTCCAGGGCAGTTTAAAGTGGAAGCTACTCCCCAGACTTGACACACAGACCGCGCCCAATGGAAGGCTGCACGCTATCGCTTTTGTTTTTTATTTATGTACAGTACTTGCACCCTGGTGACATTGGGGCCCTCGAGCAGGCACACTAGGGAAGAGCAGAGCCCGCCGCCCGCTCCTCATCCTCGCCCTCTTCTCCAACTGCTACTTTTGCTGATTTCTAATTTAACCTCCCGTTCTTCCTTCCTGATTAGTAAACGCTCCCTGCTTGTGCCTGTTCTTAGGGACCATGTGGGAGGCTGGTGCGATGGCTGATTGACTGTGTCAGAACCTTACCTAAACCCTAGGGTACAGGGGACAGCCCTTAGGACAGCTTGTCCCTGAGGCCCTGGATAGTAAAAAGAGAAATGACGAAGGACAGACTGTGCCTCGGGGGAGCTCCAGTCTTCACCCTCAGCTTGGACATCATCTCCTGGCTTTAGCGCTGACTCTTCAGCCTCTGCCTTGGAGCCTTCCGGTGTAGACTCTTGAACTTTCCACTGCAGACCATGGGCCTCCTGATACAGACTTGCACAGACACTGCAGGGAGCTCTAGGCCTTGGATTGCCTGCTCCAGCCTCCCGTGGGCAGATGCCCTCTGCACGCTTCCTCACCGGCTGCGGCTGGCCACCGTGAGCCGCTGTGTGTCTTCTTACACATCTGTGTATCATGCGCTGCGCCTGCTTCTCCAGTAAGACGCTGCCTCATACAGCCGTGAAGCTGCTCTGGCCCTTCTCGGGAAGCTGCGGGAAACCGCCGTGGCCGTGGCTGGAGGTCTCCGCATGCCTTCTCAGGGCAGCACCACGCTCTGGTTCCTGGATGTGGCACAAAGAAACCGAGAGATATCCTTCTGGGAAGCCTCACTCCTGCTGCTCCAGTGCAACTCAGAAGGGAGCTGGGAGGAAAGAAGGCCCCATTCTGTCAGCCATGGGCAGGAGAGCCTGCCAACCAGGGGAGACCGACAGTGGCAGGAGAGAGCGAAAGACCCGGAGCAGGAGATACAGGCCAAGGCAACCCTGCCCATGGCTCTGCGTGGGTGCCAGCCCAGAAGGTTGCCCTTGAAGCTGAGCATGAGCCCCAGCCACAAACCAGCAAAACGCAGGGCTCCGCAGCCCCTGGGTTCAGGGAGACTCAGCAGCAGCCACCACCTCAAGCCTGTGCCTGTGAGCAGCAAAGGTCACCCTCGGCAACTGGGGTCCACAGTGGGCACCATGCCAGCCTGGGACAGCAGGGACAGAAAGCGAAGGGAGAAGTTGGCGCTCTGAGGCCGCCTCCTGGTGCTGGGGCCTGGGCAGCTTCACTCTTGCCAGCACTGAGGCCATGTGCTGTCACTCCCACATGCTGCCACATACCTGCCATCTAGAAGCAAGATGCCTGCAGCAAAAGGCAAATACATACACAGTTTCCCTAGATAGTAAGCGAGCATCCTCACCACAGAAGTCCCAAATCGGAAAAGCTCCACTCTCTGGAGCTTTTTCTAATCAACACAAGGAATTGACTCATGTGACAGGCCAATCAATATCCAGCCACAACTAAGACACTGCACAAAATTAGCATCTATGTGCATAAGGAGAACACAACATGGGTGAATTTCATGTTAGACCTAGGTCCCATCCCTAGGACACTCATACATAACTGCAAGCATTCCAAGACCCAGAACGCTTCTGACTGCCAGAGTCTCTCCCTAAGACCTGCAGCACTTTGCATCCCCAGCACAGTCTGCGACTGCCAATTTCCACAGCCCTGAAGAGAATGCACTGCCACGCACAGCCAACGCAGTAGGTGACAGTGGGGTTTTCAATTGCATTTTAAGTAGCTTTTCTGGGAGGTTTCTGGCCACCTGCATTACTTTTTGTGTTACCTGGCTGTCCCTGGCTCTGGTCTGAGTCCCTACTGCCTCCCCCTGTGCTTGGTTTTTGGCCTCATGTTAGAGAAGGCCTGAACCTAGCGATGCCTGGCTGGCTATTTCCACCACCACGCAACACACTGAAGCCCAGCCAGAGGTGCACGGGGTAAGGTGAGGACAGATGCCCTGTCCTACAGGGACCAGGCGTCAGTGCTGCAGAAGGGGACACCCACGTATCACCGCTGTGAGCTTGCATTGGGGCAGAGGGCTTTCCTAAGTAGATACTTCAAGCCCTGGCCCTGGCTGAGGCCACTGGCAACCCTGCCAGCTTTGGAGAAGAGCGAGGCCCAGCCTACAGAGCCAGCCCCTCATTGCCACGCTCCTGCTCTCTGCAAGCGGCATCTGGGCCCTGTGTGTGTGGCCTTCCCAGCTCATGCTGCTTAGAGCTGCTTCCAGGCTGCTGGGGACCAATCGAGTCCTCCTGCAACGTCCCACCTGAGCCTCCAGGGTGCCCGGCTCCAGTCCAGCCTCCCCAGTCCTCTAGGCAGAGCACAGCCTCTCCCCTGGCAGGTAGCAGGAAGCCCCTAGGGCAAGCGGACCCACTCTCGGCTTCCCACCACCCAAAGAGCTCATCCAGCTGAACTTCATGCTTGTTCCGCACAGAGACAGCAAACAGCACGTTTGGCAGAAGGTGATAGCCATCACATCTCTGGTCAGAAGACTTATACCACTGGTCTCTGCCCTCTGGAGCCACTGGCACGGGGCTGTGGGGCCCAGAGGACCTGGGCTCCATCCTGATGGTTTCCACGTGGCATGATTTTCAGGTCTGCCAGCAGCCCCGTGCGGCCCACAGCTTGTCCCGCAGCCTTTCAAAGCCAGTGCCATTAGGTGAGCCTGCCCTCCCTCACATTCCCAAAAAGCCGCCTCTCCAGAGCTTCCCTCATGGCTGACATGCTTTCTAGTCACTTCCTTTGGTTCTGCCTCCCAAGGGCTGCCCTGTCTTCCCGCTCTTCAGCCTTCAAGGGAAGGTGTCATCCATAGGAGACTGGAATCAGCAGGGCTTGCTGACTCCTTCACCTCCTCCAAGCCTCATCCAGACAGCTTCATGAAGCAGGGGGAGAGGGCTGGAAGGGAGCCAGTGGGGTGGGGGCCCTGGAGACCCCAGGACAGACATGTTGCCTCTGCCACACCATGCAGGACAGCGGAGCCCTCTCTCCCTGGCTGCTCTCCAGCTCAGCTTGCTGCCCCATGGCCACAGAAAGCAAGCAGCAGAGAACGGGACCGCCCCTCCCTCACTGAGGGGTTCCATGCTCATCAGAGGCCGGAAGCAGCATGCCAGGCTCTGGCAGGCTCCGTCGGGCCAGCTGCACTCCTTTCAGTCCAGGCTGAATGGCAGGCAGGACGTTAGCTGGAGTGACCAGATGCTCCCTGAAGAAGTCATCCCTGACCACAGGAAGGCAGCTGGCTGGCCCTGGGAAGAGCGTGGAGTCAGGCGAGGCACATGAGAAGCCCCAGTGCAGCAGCTCTGTATGCTGACGGACTGCAGGGGAAAGGGCAAGAGGAGGGGAGAGGGCAAGAGAGGACAGAGGGTGCGGGCTCAATACAGCACAGCCAGAGCTCGTGGGGAACACAGGGTGATGCCGGAAACACTCCAGACACGCAGGCTCTGGCTCCGGGCAAAGCCCGGGTGAGACAAAGACATCAAACTGGACTTTCAGGAATCTCCTGGGCTTCAACAGAGCCAGCCAAACAGCTCAGAAAGGAGCCTACAGGACACGAGCAACTGCTGTGCCTTCGAGGGATGGGGGACAGAGGAGAGAAGAGCTGGGAGGCCCAGACCCTCTGGCCCAGCCACACACTCCTGTCCTGCCCTGGCCTGTACCTCCTCTGGCCCCAGGGGCTGCTCCTTGGGGGCCTTCAAGGACAATCCCAGAATCCTACAGCAACAAAACACAGCCCAACGGCTCCACCAAAAGCCACCGTGTGGTGCCTCAGGGGTCCTGCTCAGAGATGCTCAGATCTGGACTGGACCCAATCCCCCAGAGCCCGCCACGCTTCCCACCAAAGTCCCCAAGGTTCCCTGTGCTTCCAGGCTGTGATTACAAGAGCACACTCAAACCCTTGAAACAATTAAGGAAGAAGTGTCAGACCAGATAGATACATTATGCCAGGAAACACCCTGTGAAAGGACATGGAGCTGCCCCAGGCAGTGCGGGTGGGGTGTCGGGGGCCTCACCGAGCCTGGCAGCTGAGCAGCAGCATCTCCCGGTTGTGAATCAGGATGTAGCAGAGCACGAGGAAGGCTTTCGCTCGGATGGAAGTGGAAGGACTGTCGAGCAGGCGGAGGATCGTGGAGACGAAATCCTGCAGGCGACATTCGAAACGTTTCTGAGAAATTATGACAAATACAGGAAAGTCTCCATTCTCAGAATAAATTATAAAAACCAAAGAGATGGCAGGAAATAAAACAGCTACTGGTTCAGGATTTTTAATGTATTCCAGATCCTGTACTAAATTTTCTGTATGTGTCATCTCGCTGAGTCCTGACAACCAGCCCTGAAAAGCTGCCAACTGTGTTCCTATTTTAAAGAGGAAAAGAAATCTTACGAAGAGGAACACCTCGCCATACTCAGAGCTGAGTTCAAATCCAGACTGGATGGACACAAGCCTGCCCCTCCTCCACTCAGCCACCGGCCCTGAAGCTGCACACAGAACTAGGCCAGAGCAGGGCTGCCCACCAGGGGCTGTGGGCTACGTATCTGGAGTTCAGGCAAGCACAAGGCCACAGAAAACCCCACTCTCACCACGGGCTTCCGTCAAGAGTTCAACACAGCACAGAACAGCAGCTCCTAACAAGTCACACTGATCTACAACAAATGCAACTCCCACCCCGTTAGAGGTCAGATGTGCTGAGCTGGAGCTCCCGTTATGTGGAGGAGTGAGGCTGTGAGCGGGTAGCACAAAGGCCCTTTTCCAGGGGTCACAACGTGGGCACAACGCAGGTCAGACTGCCCCAAGCCTGAGGGCCAGAAGCACAGTCGCTTAGCTAACCTGCATCCGATAGCGTATGTAGCAAGGGCACGTGCAAAGAACAAAGGCCTTCAGGAAGTGGGGAGGGCAGGTCACACGTTCCAGGCATCCACTGTGCGCCTGATGCCCACCTGGGCCCCTGACAGGGGTGGGACTGCAGAGCAGACTAAGGCTGCTGTTTATCTCCAGGGAGGCTGCAGGCTGCGGGCCTGGCCACTGCTGCTCCATCCGAGGCGGGCTGCTGAGTCCCCTCTTCCATGCTGACTTCCTTGAGGGCCCAGACCCTCCCTGTCTGTGTATTAGTTTCCATCTAATTCAGCCACCTATAATCACAGAAATTTTTGTCCTTCTGACAGGTGGAATCACTTCTGGTGCTCTGTCAGTGTGAAAACGGGAAGCCACACGCGCACACACATGCACTAACGTCAGTGCCCGGATGCAGGACATCCATCTCCAGGGTCCCTCACGAGCCTCGCACCCACCAGGAGCACCGACTCCTGGGCACACACATCACGCTCACTGTTTAACTTCTACTTGCTCGTGTACTTCTTGGGCAAACCATGGTCCTTCAGCGCTGGGTGCTGCAGTGCCAGGAAGGAAGACAGTGCAGCCACGGGTACAAGGCGGTGGGCACGGAGCAAACGACCAAACCCGACCCACACTGTGGGTGAGCGCAGCGTCATGCAGGGCCCCAGACAGGGTTGCCTCAGTGGGGGCTGCCCATCTCCCACCCGCCCCCAAGTCCTCCTAGGTCAACCTTCTACTCTCCTAGACTGAAAGCTGTTCAAAGAGCAGGAGACAGAAGTGAAACTTTGGCACCTGCAGAAACCTGAGCCTCAATTCCTGTGCAGAACAGCAGAGCTAAGAGACAGCTGAGCACAGCAGCACATGAGCCGGAATGCTGGGTCAGGCCCGCTTCTCGGACTTCAGGGATATTCAGTATAAAAGTGCTTTGCACCTGCAACTTCGCTACCAGGTCAGAAAACACCACACCACGAGGACACGAGGCAAAGCAGGCCTCTTTTGCCCCTCATATCCTGCGCAGGCTGCCCACCCACACCGCCTCCTTGCCCTCCTCTAGTGCAGGCTCAGGATGTCTACAAAGCGAGGCTCCCAGCCTGCTGCTGAGCCCCTTAGTTAAACCCCTACGCTTCTCTTGTTGACACAATGGACAACATCTGAGAGTGGTAAGGGCAGGTCCTCTATACCAGCCTGTACAGCTCTGGGTTACTGAGTTAAGCTTCCAGACTTCAAGGAGAGCCCATGTATGAAGCCTAACAGGTGGGCAGCCTGCACCTGCAAAAGGGTTGAGAAGAGCCTGCACTCCCCTTTTGCTCTGTGTTTTTTGCTATCATGCACTGCCATGAACTGTTGCCCCCTGCCATGTGCCTCCCTGCCTTGGATCCAGCTGATCATGGACTGATACCTCCGCAAACCATGAGCTAAATAAACCTGTCCTTCCTTAACCTTGGTCATCGGGTATTCTGTCTCAGCAAGGAGAGAAAAGGAACCGAGACACTTGGTAACAATGAAGGCCGCCATTCTCACAGTTCTAACCGCACTGGAGAAGCAACAAGCCCTGATTCTTTAGCAGTTCTATGAATGCCTTTCCAAAGTGGGCGCCACAGGAGGGCTGTCTGGGGGGCAAGGTGAGGAGCCAGCAAGGCGGGGTGGGGGGCAGTGGAGGCTGTCGGGAGATCTCGCCGCGCTGCTCTCAGCCAAGACCAGTCAAAGAAGAGAAGAGGGTGACGACAGACTCTGACTCCTGAACACTGTGACACAGCCTGATGCTCTGGGTGTGCCCAAACTTCATGCCCCAGTGACACAAAGCATTCTCTTACTAACCAAACATGAGCACATGTGGGGGCTGGGGAGATAGCTCAGCGGTCCAAGTGTCTGCCTGGCAAACGCAAGGACCCAGGTTCAATCCCCAGTACCACATGCCATGCTGGCCCCACGCTGTAGAGTGAATCCAGGCTGCACAGTGAGACCCCCATACCAAATAAATAAATAAATAAGATTTAAAAAATACTCAAAGTTGACTAGAAGAACAACTTATACAAATTTAGAACAATACATAACTTATTCTAATGTATAAGAAACAGGATTCCTGTCAGCAAAAGAAACATTCTAAGGGACCAGGGAGATAATTCAGTGGAATAAGTGCTTGCCTGGCAAGGTTAAGGTCCTGAGTTCAATCCCTAGGACCACCAAAGAAAAAGTTAAGAAACATTCTAATCTTGACTAGAAATAGCAAAAAACCCTTCAAGATAAGTAGGTAGAAACCAGCATGTTAACAGCTTTTTAGAAATACATTTAAATAGATCAAATGATTTCGGTTTTATATTAAAAATAAGCACTTTCTTTTTTCTAATGTATTTGGTATAGGGTCTCGCCACACAGCTCGGACTCATAGTGATCCTCCTGCTTACAGCCTCCACAGCACCAGGATTACAGGTGTGCGCCACGACTCCTGGACTTGGTGGCCGACACAGCACGTGGTGCCGGGGATCAAACCTGGTCTCTGTACTTGCCTAAGCAGAAGCTTAGTCCACTGAGCTATCTCCCTGGCCCTATAAGTAAACATTTTCTTAAACAATCCACACTTAGCAATTGGGAATTGTAGTCTAAAAAATGTGCTAAATACACAACTGGGGTTTTCGCTTTCCCTCTGTGATCCCTGGTAAGTAATTACAAAGATACAAAGATTGGAAATGCTAACTTTCACTGCAGTACATAACGAGAGAAAGTTCTCACTGAAGAAATAGCAACAGAAACACAAGCCACTTGGGGAGAAATTCGTAAAGGATACATGCAGAGCTTCCACTAAAGAAAGCATGCACTCCTGCTGAGTGGTAACGGAGCGCTGGAATGGTCGAGTGGAACAGGCCACGGCCCTGGAGAGCCCGAGACCTGCGGCCCTGCGGCCCTGCGGCCCTGCGGCCCTGCGGCCCTGCGGCCCTGCGGCCGGGAAACCTGAGTGCTGAACCTCGCCCGACCCCAGAGCCTGACTGCAACCCCCTGGTCGCTGAAACGAACAGCAGAGGAGGAGCACCGCATCCTACATGCTGGCAGTGACCAAGGGTTTTGTCCAACCAGACATCAAAAAACACCACAAAGCATGAAGCTGCAAGAAGTCCATCGCTGAAAATTGTTATGGAAATCACAAAGTATTAGGAGAAGGAAAAGAAGATGTACTTTGAGACTAGAAAACAAGAACCATGAGAGAGACACTATTCATCATCCGACCCCTCATGCTACAGTTCAAGTGAGAAAGACTACAACAAGACGTTAAAAAAGTAAGTAAGGGAGGGGGGAAGCAACCTATGGTATTATGTGTTTGTAAAATGGAATCTTAATGTTCGAAAAGTTAGCTAAAATATTTAAAACTTGTGTGGAAGAACTGGTCTCTTTATGAATAACTCACCAGTAAAAAGTAGGAACATTCGAATAAAACAACAAAGTGACCTGAAACAGTGAACAGCTCAGAACTTTAACCTCCATCAAGAAAGTTAAAACCTGGCTGTCTTCAGCGGTAGTCAAAGAAATGCAAAGTTGGGACGCACAGGATCGGGGAGCAGTGATGAAAATGGTGGGAGCCGCGCACGCGCCGCGCAGGGATGGGAAGGATTCGCCCTGTCCCGCAGCCGCCAGGAAGGCGACCTGCCCCTCCAGAGCCTCGCAAGGCCATCTGCTTCTGACACCGCGCCGCACGTGAAGAGCTTCTTCCCCAGAACAATGAGCAGGTGAGTTCTGCCCGAGCACGCTCGGGGCAGTGTTCTTTATGAAACAGAAACAGGAAACAATTTCAGCATCCAAATACTGGAGCCCCGCTGAGTAAAACCGTGACCGTGGCAGTCAAGCCATCCCTCCAGCACCCAGACTCGGCTTCTCAGGGCAGACACTGCCCGGGAAGGGGCCCACGGGCTCCGTGTGGCTGCTGCACTGCAAGGAGGCCAGCGGAAACGCACGGCGCATGGCCACAGCCACAGCTCTGGACACGCAGACACCACCCTGCCAGCCACACAGCAGGTGCCCGGGAAAGTGGCAGTTAGAGCCGTGCGGGCAGCACGGCCCTCCCGCGTCTCAGCTGCCCTGCTTGGCAATGGCCTGATGCACAACCACAGCGTAGTGACTACAACCTTAGCATCTGGAGAGAAAGGAATGCACGAAACGGGCACACAACGTTTTCATGCAGCAACAGACACAGTTCTGCTGTTTCTGAGACTGGGTCTGGCTGCGCAGTGCAGCTGGCCTGGACTTCTCCACATGCTGGCTGGTCTCAAACTCAGTGATCCTCCTGCCTCGGCCTCCTGAATGCTGGGATCACAGGC